CTGACACCCTGCAAGCACTTGGTAATTGGGAGATTTTTTTTGTAAGTCAAGGTTGACTGGGAAGTGGCACAAGGGACATGTTTGGGGTGTAGGGAATGTTCTCTGTCTTGATTGTGGTGGTGGTTCCTTGAAAGATGTCAAGGACAGGGGATTCACCAGGAGGAGGAACTGCAAGAGCAGAGGCCTGCAGACGTGGACATGCAGCCAGGGAGGACAGATGACAGCTAACCTTCACTGAGTGCTTTCTACAAAGTGGAAGAGAGCCAGGGGCCACAATCGGAAGGACAGAGTCCCACCCCCCATCCCACCCCCCACTCCAGGGGTGGCAGGAGAGTGGAGCCATGGAGCCCTGGCTGTGAGCTCCTGGCTGGGCTGGCAACACCTGCCATGAATTGGGCACCTTTTATGGGTCAGGCACTGGTGTGAGACTTTACCTAGTCAGAGCCCCCCACCTGTCTTGTGTGGCCCCAAGAGCTATGAATGATTTTCACATTTTAGGTAGTTCTTTTAAAAATCAAAAGAACAGGCTGGGTGCAGTGGCTCGTGCCTGTAATCTCAACACCTTGAGATGCCAAGGCAGGAGGATCACTTGAAGCCAGGAGTTTGAGACCAGCCTGGGCAAGAAAGCAAGACCCTATCTCAACAACAACAACAACAAGAAAATGTTTAATTAGCCAGGCATGGTAGTGTGTGCCTATAGTCCCACCTACTGTGGAGACTGAAGTGGGAGAATCATTTGAGCCCCGGAATTCGAAGGTGCAGTGAGCTATGATCGTGCCACTGCACTCTAGCCTGGGTAATAGAATAGGATCTTGTCTTTAAAAAAAAAAGAAAGGAAGGAAGAAGACAGCCAGGCGTAGTGGCTCACGCCTTGTAATCCCAACACTTTGGGAGGCCAAGGTGGGTGGATCACTTGAGGTCAGGAATTTGAGACCAGCCTGACCAAAATGGTGAAACCTCATCTCTACTAAAAATACAAAATTAGCCGGGCGTGGCGATGCATGTCTATAACCCCAGTTACTCAGGAGGCTGAGGCAAGAGAATCGCTTGAACCCAGGAGGTAAAGGTTGCGGTAAGCCAAGATCACACCATTGCACTCCAGCCTGGACAACAAGAGCGAAACTCTGTCCAAAAAAATAAAGGAAGAAGAACAATACAGTTGATCCTCCATATCCACGGATTCAATCAACCACAGATGGACAATATTCCAAAACACAAAATTGTTTCTGTACTAAACATGTACAGACTTTTTTCTTGTGATGATTCCCTAAGCAATATAGTAATAACAACTATGGCAGCCGGGCAACGTGGCTCATGCCCTGTAACCCCAGCACTTTGGGAGGCCCGAGGCGGGCAGATCTCTAGGTCAAGAGATCGAGACCATCCTGGCCAACCATGGTGAAATACCATCCTCCTACTAAAAATACAAAAATTAGCCGGGGATGGTGGCGGGTGCTATAGTCTAGCTACTCAGAGGCTGAGGCAGGAGAAAATCGCTTGAACCTGGGAGGCAGAGGTTGTAGTGAACCGAGATCGCACCACTGCAACCAGCCAGGGTGGACAGAGCGAGATTGCCATCTCAAAAAAAAAAAAAAAAAAAACTATCTGTACAGCATTTCATCGTATTAGGTCTTCTGAGTAATCCGGAGATAATTAAAGTAAACAGAAGGTATGCATAGGTTATATGGCAAATACTACTACTCCATTTTATAGCAAGGGACTGTTGAGCACGCTGCGAATTTTTGGTATTAAGTAGAAAAAGGTCTGGAACCAAAGCCCCATGGAACCAAGGAACAGCTGCGTTTTGTGACATCTGAACAGCCACCCCCATGCACCCACGGATTGTCCCACACCACAAGGGCAGCGTTGAGTGGCTGCAATAGAGGACTTACAGACCTTCACAGTTTGCCCATAAATCCCATAAAGTAGGGGTCAAGTTCCCAGTGTACAAAGAAGAGTAAAGAGGCCACCCAGCCTTCCTTCCCTGCTGCTATTAGGACCTTCCCCTCCACCCACTCCTGGTGGGACAGGCCCAGCCCCCCTTAGCCCAGCAGGTACATCTGGCCTACCTCCGCTGCACCCGCTCACCTGGCGGAGCAGCAGCGCCCCCTGCCGGTGGTTCGGGCTGGCCGGCTCGCCCTAAGCCCGGACTCTTAGCTTCTGCCACCACCTGGTGGCTATTTCTGGAAGCGCAGCTGGGAGCCCAGATCCGGTGAGCAAAAAGCTCACGTGGCTTCCGAGAGAGGCCCTGCTGGTCCAGCCAGGTGTGGCAACGACCAGCGCACAAAGTATTCCAGGCAGGACTTGAAGCCTTTAAGCTAGTATCCACTGAAAAAGTTCCACTTCGTCCCTGCTTTTTTTTTTTTTTTTTTTTTTTTTTTGAGACAGCGTCTTGCTCTGTTGCCCAGGCTGGAGTGCAGTGGCACGATCTCGGCTCACCGAACCTCCGCCTCCCGGGTTCAAGTGATTCTCCTGTCTCAGCCTCCAGAGTAGCCAGGATTACAGGCACCCACGACGCCGGCTAATTTTTGTGTTTTTAGTAGAGACAGGGTTTTGTGTTTTTAGTAGAGACGGGGCCATGTTGGCCAGGCTGGTTTCGAACTCCTGACCTCAGATGATCCACCCACCTAGGCCTCCCAAAGTGCTGGGATTACAGGAGTGAGCCACCACGCCTGGCCCCTGCTTATTATTTGATCGGTGAGAAAACACCTGACAGAGCTTAAATGTTTACTAACTGGCTGTGGATCTCTAACCCTGGGGAACTGATCAAAGACCATGAACTATGGCCAAAAGATGATGGAGGGGGTGTGAAGGTCAACTGACTTAAGTCCGGTTCCCCAGGCATTTGGCCTTGAGTACTTCATCATTCTTTCTTAACTTCAGTCGTTATTCATTCTTTCAGCAAACTCTTTTTGAGCACAACACGATGTGCGGTGCCAGGTGCTGGAGAAACACCTGAGAACAGGCAAAGCAGTCCTGCCCTTGTGGAACTGACTACCCAATCATTCATAAGGTGTGATGAGGCATATTTGAAGGGGCAGAGAAGCCACTTGAGCAGCACATATGGGCAGCGACTTGACCTTGTTGGGTGTCATGGAAGGCTTCCAGTGGCCTGAGAATGGGTTGTCTAGCCAACAGGGTGGAAGAACCACAGGTGCCAAGTTCCAGAGCTGATGAGTGTACCGGAAAGTGGCTGAAAGAAGGACTGACCGGCAGGAATGCAGAGGGTGATGGAGAGAGGAAGTCAGGCAGAGCTGGAGAGAGAGGGGGGCTGAGCCAGTCAGAGCCTCCAATGCTGGGTGAATCTGAAAAGTTAAAGCATCTGCTCTTGCTCTGGGGCAACAGGGGGCCACTGCCTGTCCTGGGAGGAGGCAGAGCACATTCTGCTCCTTAGTAGAGCCCATTCCGTGACTGGGCAGCTCTGCTGGCTGGAAAGTTCATTCTGAGATGAAATTGATGCCTCCTCTGCCCACAGGCTCCTGAGGCATACACACAGATGGAGGTGCTTCCCTGCCTCCAGCACAACCGCTCACCCTGTAACAGCCTCACTGGCTGTTCCCTGGCAGAGGCCCTCACACAGGGTAGGCGGGAGGGTACTCTGGATGTGAATCCCAGCTCAAGCCCTTACCAGCTGTGTTGTCTGTCTCTTAGGTAACCTCTCTGAACCTCCATTTTCTCCTCTGTAAAAGATGGATCACTGACCTCAGGGCTGCACCTGTGACAGGGATGGTGTTGTGAAGTGCTTAGCACCCATTAAGTACTCAGTGGTGATAACAGGTGGTGATAATGACATGGTTTATCTCCAACTGACCTTTTCCAGAAAAGTTCCTCTCAGTCAGTGTTCTGCATTTTAAAATGTGCCACCAGGGCGGGGCACGGCAGCTCGATCCTGTAATCCTGGCACTTTGGGAGGCTGAGGCTGTAGGATCACTAGAGCCTAGGAGTTTGAGACCAGCCTGGGCAACATAGGGAGATCCTCCACCATTTACAAAAAAATTAAAAATTAGCCAGGCATGGTGGCGTGCATCTGTAGTCTCAGCTACTCAGGAGGCTGATGCAAGAGGATCACTTGAGCCCAGGAGGTCAAGGCTGCAGTGAACCATGACTGAGCCACTGCACTCCAGCCAGGGCAACAGAGCAAGACACTATCTCAAAAAAAAAAAAGTGCCATTAAGAACTGAACTCTGTTCTGGGGGAGTAGCCTTTCCTTACCTTCTCTGAGCCTCAGTTTCCCCATATATAAGAGAAAGGAATCAGATAAGATGGCCTGAAAGGCTGCTACCAGTTCTAATGCTCTCAGGTCCTGCTCTCTGACCTGCCCAGGACACATGGAAGCATCATCACCTCCTTGATCAGGGCACTCTACTCCTCATAATGGAACCAAGATGGTCTTCGCTTTATTCTTTTTCCCATTGTCCCCGTCCTCACTGCCCTCTGGGTTATGCCAACATCCTCTGAGATAACTGAGGCTCAGAGGCTCAAGCAGGCTTTGCCACCCTCTCCCCACTGTCCGTCCCACCCCTCACTCTCCCACCAGACTGTCTGCTCCATCCCCGTGCCCACTGCTCCTGCCTGGACTCCCTGCTGCCCTTGGTTCCTACTCCACCCCTCTGTCCACTCCCCCACTCACATACCTGGCCCTCCTTCCCCACACAGCCCACCTACCTTCACAGGGAGGCTGCAAGACACCCCTGCCAGCCTAGGAGGGTCGAGATCCTAGGACTCTACTTCTTCCAGTCCTGGTATTTGCCTACACCCCCCCGCCTCCCCCCCCCCCCCCCCCCCCCCCACACACACACACACTCATGCATTTATAACCCCCTTGGGGACAGCCGCTGTGTCTGCTGTAGTTTAGCCCTGGATTCATCATGACTTCGACATCACCGGCCCTAGGCCAGTGTTCGAGAGCATGATCCCAAACAGTTCTTGCTCTGTTCAGCTCCCCACATTGCCAAGCTGTGAGCGGACTCTCCGTGCTTCCTGCCTTCTGTCTGGCTCACCTGTTCTCTCTAGGTAGGCGGCCCCTCCTCCAAGCTCTCCCAGTCCTGGGCTGACCTCTGTCACTTGGATGGCAGGTGCGGTTCTCCGGGCATGCACCTCGTTCCTCTCTTTACTCCCAGCACAGTGGCTGAAACTTGTGGGTGCTCGATCGTGCTAGTTGAATGAATGAATTAATAGATGAATGAATATGGGGTGGTTGCAGGCAAACCCACAATGCCACACAGGACACCGACCAACAACTGAAAATAGGGACAGCTCCCCCTACTCTCAGCTCCCCAGCGTAGCCCTCTCCCATCGCAGCCAGGCCGGCATGCCCACCGCGCAGCAAGGCAGGGCCCCGCACAGCTCAGCCCGGGCGTGGTGCTCGCGGCGCCCTCTGCTGGCCGGGCCTACGGCCTCCTCCTGCGCACGCGCGCCGCGACCCCGGGACCAGACCTACAGGGAGAAGGCGTGATCTGGGGCCCTCCCTCCGCACCAGCGGAAGTCCCAAACCCAGGTCTTTGACCGTCATGAACATCCTTTGTCCTTCCTTTCTCCTACTCCCCCTGCAAACGTTTTAGGCATCCCTAAACGAGCACCAGCCCTCGCCTGCTCTCTTAGCGGGCCTCCAGGTGAGGTTAGACTTGCCAAATGCTGGCACAGGACAAAACCCTAATAATAATAACTATGATGATGATGGCAGCTGCTGCTGAGCAGGCACTTTGTGGTTACCTTAGCAACCTTCCACCATCCAGGAAGTGCAGCACCTACTTTCACAGGCGGCAGCTGCAGCCCGAGGCGTGCAGGGACTTCCCAAGGTCACACAGCAAGAATCCTAAGAAACCTGGGGTGTTTCCTCTGCCTACGTGGAGCGTTAACCCTGCCTCCAGAAGCGGGGTCCTTGAGATGGGAGCAGAGCGCTCTGGGGCCCCAGAAACCCCCCCACCTTGCCCCATGCGCAGCGAACGTGGCTGCACTTCGAATCTTTGTCTAACCCATCATTTTGCCTTTGGGAAAACTTCAGGGGAGGTGGAGGCCAGAGAACAGGGAGACAAACGTTCGTGGGCATCTGCCACGAGCACATTTGCCACGCTTTGTGACAGGCCTTTTCCCGTTACACACCACACCAGCCCAGGACCGCAGCACAGAACCAGTACCCAAACTTGCCGACTCCCTCCCCAGTGCTCCTTCCTACCCGCGCCCCGCCCACCTCCCCCACCCCCACCCCACCTCTCCACCCCACCCCCTATCTCCCCTACCCACTCGGCTCTCACCCTACCTCTTTGACTTGGTGTGCCGCGAGTCTCTCTTGTATAATTTGTGCCGTAAGCGAGCACGAGAGTTCTCTCTTGGAAAAGGGACTACGGGGAAGGGGAGGAAACGCACTCATTACAGGACTCCACGTGGGGTCCAGAGGCTCTGCCCCTGGTGCCTCTTCCCCAGCCCTAAAGCCCCCAGCCCTAGAGAGAGGGCCTTCCTGCACAACATCTCCAGGGAACCGAGTACCCCATTAGGGCCGAGAAATGTTGAGTAGTGCGGAGGGTGCGGGAGGCGCGCCTAGGTGCCGAAACCCGGTCTGTGCTGCCATCCTGTGGCCATTGCAGGAAGTGTGCCTGTCAGGCCGCTCTGCGTTGAACCTGAAATGCCAGGTCACCCTCAGGTTGAGCGAAACCCGGCCCTGTGCTGAGGCTACAAGGAACACAGAAAGGGACAAGACGCAGCCCGTGCCCTGAAAGAGCTTACGGTCCGATAGGATGGCCTTCAAATGACATGATCCAATACTCAGCTTGGCGTCAGATACCGCCCAGAATAGAAGATCGTGATAAAGGTTCCAAAAGATGGAGAGAGCCTGCCCCGAAACGCATCGGGAAAGCCCTCCTGCAGCAAGCCATGTCGCGACTGAGCCTTACAGGGCAGGCGGTACCGGGGCAAACAGAGATGAAGGAAGGCACTGCGGGCGGAGGGACCAACCTGAGCAAAGGCACGGGGGCAGGAAACACGGATTCTCAGGAATCCAGCTTGTCCCAAGTCTAGGTCAACTGTGAAGGGGAGAGCAGCATGGCCAAGTCCTCCAGTGCCCAGGTAGGAGGTTTCACTTAACCCTTTAGGCCATGGGGCCAGCAAAGGTCTTTGAGCAAGCCAGCAGCTTGACCAGAAGTCTGTCCAGGAAAAGAACATGATAGCTGGAGTACATGATAGCTGGAGTGGATAGGGCAAATGGGTGAGGTTTCAGAGCAATTAGGAAGGAAGGAGAACAGGAGGCATGAGCGACGCGGATGGTGGTGCCACTGGCAGAGCTGGGAAGTCAGGGGCCACACAGGGGAGACCAGGGCTGGGGTTTAAGTTCCTGGCAGAACATCCCAGTGAAGACGTCCTTCAGGAAGCCAGAAAGAATACATTAATAAAAGGGGAGGTAATAGTTATTGCTCATATGTGTACAGACTTTATAGTAAATAAAGCAGTTTAATCCATACATGCATTTGACTCATATTTTATTTAATTATTTATTTTTGAGACGGAGTTTTGTTCTGTTGCCCAGGCTGGAGTGCAGTGGTGCGATCTTGGCTCGCTGCAACCTCTGCCTCCTGGGTTCAAGCAATTCTCATGCCTCAGACTCCTGAGTAACTGGGACTACAGGCGCGTGCCACCACGCCTGGCTAATTTTTTGTATTTTTAGTAGAGATGGGGTTTCATCATGTTGCCCAGGCAGATCTCAAGTCCTGACCACAAGTGATCCTCCTGCCTCAGCCTCCCACAGTGCTGGGATTACAGGTGCTTGCCACCACACCTAGATAATTTTTGTATTTTTAGTAGAGACGGAGTTTCACTATGTTGGCCAGGCTGGTCTCGAACTCCTGACCTCAGATGATCCACACACCTCAGCCTCCCAAAGTGTTGGGATTACAGGTGTAAGCCACCGCACCCAGCCTGGAAAGTTTATTTATTCAGGTCTGTTGCAGCCTCAGTTCCCAGTCTGTGAGGACAAGAGGTAATTTCTAAACCAGGGAAGGGACCTCCCAGAGGAATCTTTATGGCTTACTGCATACAGGAAAAGACAGGTCAGCTCACCCTTTCTGAAACTACAATTTCTCCAATAGTTTCAGCTCAAAATAATCACTATGCCAATTTGGCATATTTGGGGATGGCACATCCTTCACTCCATTGGGGGACTTCAGTGAATATGATATTAGATTACAGTGAGGGAGGCAGATATTAACTAACAGTCCAAATAAATAAGTACATTACAGGGTGTAGGAGATGATGTCCTGGAGGGAAAGGAGCAGTAATGCAGAATAAGGGAGTGGAGGAAGACTGCAGGGAGGGCTGCGATTCAACACAGGGAGGTCAAGGCTGGGCATGGGGGCTTGCCTGTAATCCCAACACTTTGGGAGGCTGAGGCGGGTGGATCACCTCAGGTCAGGAGTTTGAGACCAGACTGGCCAACATGGTGAAACCCTGTCTCTACCAAAAATACAAAAAATTAGCTGGGCGTGGTGGCACGCGCCTGTAGTCCCAGCTACTCAGGAGGCTGAGGCAGGAGAACAGCTTGAACCCAGGAGGCAGAGGTTGCGGTGAGTCGAGATCACACCACTGCACTCCAGCCTGGGCAACAAGAGTGAAACCCCGTCTCAAAAAATAGAGAGAGAGAGAGGGGTCAGGAAAGGCCTCATACAAAAGTGCTATGTAAGCAAAACCTTAGACTTTGAGAAAGAAAGCCATGGGGATTTCTGGAGGAAAGCTTCCAGACCCCAAGGTGGGAGCATTTCTGACATGCTCTAGGCCCAGCTAGGGGGCTGGTGTAGCTGGAGTGGAAACAGAAGGCCGAGTAGTTGAGATGAGCTGAGCAGAGTCACAGGCACTGGATCACAGGGGGCCTCCTAGAACATGGTGGAAACTGTGGCTGCTGTGTGGAATGAAGGGCCAGGGAACAGGGACAGGAGTGAGACCCAGTGGGAGATGAGGAAACGACTGCAATAGTCCAGGCGAGAGAGGATGGCGGCTCAGATCAGAGTGGAGCAAAGGAACCCTACACTGAACTGTAGACTTGAAAATGATGTACAGGTGGCAAGAAGCAACCAGACACTGGAGCTAACATGCAGGGAAAGCCCCCAGACGTACCAACAAACTGTAGTAGGTGGAGGGGTCAAGAATGCTATTACTGGCCAGGCGCGGTGGCTCACGCCTGTAATCCCAGCACTTTGGGAGGCCGAGGCGGGCGGATCACAAGGTCAGGAGATCGAGACCACGGTGAAACCCCGTCTCTACTAAAAATACAAAAAATGAGCCGGGCGCGGTGGCGGGCGCCTGTAGTCCCAGCTACTCAGGAGGCTGAGGCAGGAGAATGGCGTGAACCCAGGAGGCGGAGCTTTCAGTGAGCCAGGATCGCGCCACTACACTCCAGCTTGGGCGACAGAGCGAGACTCCGTCTCAAAAAAAAAAAAAAAAAAAAGAATGCTATTACTGAGAGGATAGAGCTGCCATGAACAATGCGAAGGTTGTGGGCAGGACCTGTTCAGTGCAGGGAGATTAGGGGCTCTGTCTGAGCCATACTGAGTTTGAGATGTTTATTAAACATCAATGGGGGCCGGGCACAGTGGCTCATGCATGTAATCCCAAAATTTTAGGAGGCCAAGGTGAGCAGATCACCTAAGGTCAGGAGTTCAAGTCCAGCCTGGCCAACATGGCAAAACCCCATGTCTACTAAAAATACATAAATTAGCCAGGCGTGGTGGCACACGCCTGTAGTCCCAGCTACTTGGGAGGCTGAGGCAAGAGAATCGCTTGAACCCAGAAGGTGGAAGTTGCAGTGAGCCAAGATGGCACCTACTGTCACTCCAGCCTGGGTAACAGAGTGAGACCCTGTCTCAAAAAAGAAAGAAATACTGTTTTCCAACCCTGTGTGTTTTCATGCTCACTTTTACACAGGAAGGAACTGAGAATCAGATGAGTGAAGGGACTTAGCCAGGCAGAGAAGCTCCCAAGAGCAAAGCCCTGGCCCAACAACCCTTGCCCCGGAGATGTTTCTGTGTGTTTTTTTGAGACAGTCTCATTCTGTCACCCAGGCTGGAGCATAGTGGCATGATCTCAGCTCACTGTAACCTCTGCCCCCTAAGTTCAAGCAATTCTCCTGCCTCAGCCTCCCGAGTAGCTGGGACTACAGGTGCACACCATCA